CCCCGCCGGTTCCCCCCCCCCCCCCCCTTTCCCGCAGAAACAATGCTGTCCTACATCACAATTATACTGCGTCCAATTTTCAATTACATCTTCCATAGATATTTACCCCAAATCTGAATAGCAACATTGGCTTCATTTTTTGCCAGGTGGGAATTGAATGTCAATTTTTGACAGTAATGTCTAAAACCTTCAGGGGATCCCTATCTTTCTTCTAAATCTTAATAAACCCACAGGAGAGTATCAGGCAGGGCACAGAGGAAATGTCTCATCAGGTCTGGAGCCTCTGGGAACATCACATCAAATCCAGCTGTACAGTCCTCACCAGTGACTAGAGTTAATTTATCTATCGACAGCTCTAAGCCCTTTGAGAAATCACTTGGTGGCCGCCGCTTCATTCCCTCTGAATACATTTCCAGTCCCGTGGACACTATTAATGATAACTTCATCAGTGAGGTCTTCATCCAGCTAAACCCAAATGTAATTTTCAGCGTGAGGATACTGCCATTGAAATCCATGGCAAAAACTACATCCCTGCCTGTTGTACTAGACTGGGACTGGCCAAACTCTTGCCCTTCACCCATCCTAGCAGGAATGTGGTCTAAACCCCAGGATCCTGAGACAGACCCCAGTATCAGTGTCGATTCTGTCATCTTCTCAAAAGAGCAGAAAGAGAGGAACAGCACAAGTGTAGGCAAAGGGAGGCCCATTGCTTTATGCTCATTTGGGCCCTAATTGAATTGCGTGGCTGCTCCTTCCCCGCTAAGGATGAAACAGTAGCACATAAACACTATTACTTGATTTTAATGACCTTTTTCCCCGTGTTTTCTTTCCCAGTTGCAACAGGAACATATGTTGTAAAATAGCTAAGTGTATCTATAACGTCAAACTCCATGAAGATCAGTAAGCTGCTGTTTTACACACATTTTTAAACCAAAAACCTCGCTTGCCTTAGGTGCCATTGTGAAGATGTGAGCCTGAACCTATGAATATGACAGGCAGGATTTGATCCTGTCACATGAAGAAAGCCATGAACAGCTGAAACTGCTTTTAAAGCTGTCACAACCACAGCTCTTCTGCTTCTGGTTCATTCAAAGCGACCCCTTCCTCATTCAATCTCCTTCAAGTACACCGCTTTGTTGTTTCTTTCCTCCTGGAAACTAAAGAGTGAATGAAAATCTTGCTATTTGGGATGGCATTAAAAAAAAAATAATGGCAAATAAAGACATTTTAATTGCATGGGATTTCTGAATAAGGTTTCAAAGTGGAGAAAAAAATAGCTGTGTGCCTGGTACACAGAGAGCCCTTTCTCTTCCCCTTTGTGGCAGAGGAATCAATGGAATTCATATAAAAGAAGGAGGGGGCTGGGAAGAGAGATAGGAGATGCCTTGCTCGGTACCGGCAGGTCACAAGTCTTATGAGGCTCGAGCAGGGCTTGCAAGGAAGTTGCTGACTGTATCTCCATGTGTACCTTTTTGTTCCTTGCCTTGGATTTGCTGGTCAGTGGCATGCTGCTTTGCCTGGCTCTCCATAGAGCTTGTAGCCTACAGGAATTTGGACAGAGTGGTACAGACATCGCCGACAGAGACTCTGATCACTGACTATCCCTTTAAATGCAGTCTCATGACTTAGTCTTTACTCCACTACCTATTAAAGAAGGAGACAAGACGTACATAGACAGCTTCCATTCAGACACCCAGAAGGACACAGAAAGGCAAGACAATTTAACAGAGCTAACTGTGAGTAAATACGAGGCATTAGAGGTGCTCTCTAGAGCAAAGGGCATGGAGAAAGATTTGTAGGAAATCCTGAAGTGAAAGAAGGTGCAGTATTTTTTAAAATATACTTGCATACAATGTAAAAGGCGAAATTCTGTAAAGAAAGCTATTCTGTCGTTTTAGTATTATTCCTTTAAATATGAATCTAAGTGTCTCTTAATATAACGTTGACCAATGCTTGATTTCCCATAAAAATCCGAAGCAGTGATTTTGTGCTGCAACCACTGGAGCCTTTTGCAAACATAACCTTTTTTCACTGGGATAAATTTCATAGAAGGAATATCTGGGGGGGAAATTTGAAGCCAGCCTTTTGCAAACTTGGATCTAAACCACAGCCTGGAGACCCCAGTTAGATGCCCGCACCTCACAAGGGGTGGCCTTCCTTCTGGGAGTGCTGGATGCGACCCCCTTTCTGCTGGGGACAGAAAGGAGCTGTGGGTGCTCAGCAGCACGGAGACCACACTAAGGTGTCCCATCATGCGTGCAGGTAGCTAACTTTTTCACTGAGGGGCTCTGTGTCTCCACGCACTGTAATGGCCAATCATCCTACATGGGTACAGCATTAGGGAAAACTCGGTTCTTGTTAGTCAACAGAGTCATCAACATGTCCCTACATCTTTTTTTTTTGTATGACAATAGTTACTGGGTAGACCTGGACAAGTATTTTAACAGTGATCATTACTATTGCAAGTGATACCTTAACACTGATGGAAAGAGAAAGTTCCTCTGTCAGCTCAGCCTATTGCTTTTCTGAATTTATCTGTATTATTAATTGCAGGTATGATTATCTGGTGGAGAGTGTTCCCAGCTCACCTTCATGTTGCCCATTTTCTTCTCTGCATTTATCCTGTCTGCTTGCTGCTTAACCAAAGCAAACTGCATCTCCTATGATGAGCTGAAAGAGCTGAAGACTGAATTTGCCATCAATCTCTACCGGCATGTATCGGAAGCAGAGAACAGAACCAATCTGGTAGTCTCTCCAGCAAGCGTGGCTGTTTCTTTGGAGCTGCTGCAGTTTGGAGCTCAAGGAAATACCTTTACGGAGCTGCAGGATGCCCTAGGATACAACATTCATGGTAATGTACTGCTTAAAAAAAATACTTCGTCTTACATTTTGCAATAAATTCACAGCTTTATTAAGGAGACGGCAATTGCACACATCATACTGAACTTCTGTCTTTTGTCTCACTGCAAGACGTAGCTTAAGAGTGTTTTCTCCATCTTTGATAGCCAGGTATCAGCTGGACAAAGGAAACTCAAGGGAGCATTTCATACACATGTTATTATTCCTCTTTTTTCTTGATCAGTGCTTACTCTTTTACTGCACCGAAATACAACTACATCTAGAAAAGCTACTTCCATGAATGGCAGAATTGCTCCTGGTTTCCCAGAGGTTCATCGTGTCCGTTGTGTCCTGGCCTCCCCTGCGTCCTCTGCGAGGAGGTGCCAGGCAGAGGACAGTCGTTTTCTCTCCTATCCCATTAACAAATTTTATGAAACCCATAGAAATTGAATTATCTTTAAGACTTTGCACCTTTTTCTAATGTTATTACAACTGGCCAAAAAGATGAAAAGTTATTAGAAGGAGACTGGCAGAGAGAGGTATACATTGACAGATGGATGGTGCAATTGCATCTTTCCCTGAAAGCAGGCTAAAATAAAACTCACCGGGAATCTGGAAGGGATATGGAAAAGGCAGATGTCTTAAAATTCAGCATTAAGTCAGCTGAATTTAAGGATGCTGTTTTCATTTTAGCTCTGGATTATCCTACCATCTCACATCACACATCAAAAACTATTTTACATTATGGGCACAATGTTTATGAAAAGCAGATGACTGCCTCAAGCTTCAAAATTTGCAGCTTACATACAAGACTTATGTATAGACATGACACCGCTATTTCTCAGCATAAAATTTACTTCCAGTGTATGAATACTGAAGATAAAACCTACAGCAATTTCACCATCCTGTGCCGTAGCCTGCCTTAGTCACCATTATCATTCTGTATAGCATTGATATTCAAAACCAACACAGCAGTAAGAGCTAACTCTGGCTGATATATACAGATACAGCTGCGTGTACTGACACAAGGACAGTGCATCTATGTTATGAGCAGCTGATATAACGAAGTCTTGCCTATAAGACTCCTGTTTCTGAAAATTCAGTAGGGTAATTTTAAACAACATGAATTCATACATGGATTATACCTTGCTTGACACTTCTCGTCATTAGGGGCTCACTTATTAAGAAAGAACCTTAAGAATAATATTGCGCAGTGAAATTCAGGCACAGATCTCCACACAAAATGTAACAAAGTGCAGAGGTTGTTAATGACCTGCTAGCTCTTTTGCGCTGCCTTACTTCTTCTCATGTGGCGCATCATAACAAGCAGACATTTTATCTCCATTTCAGTTGTCTGTGGCACAAGCCACATGAGCTTGAATGCCACATGAGCTATGCATGCATGTGAAAATAAAGTAGGATGGGATCTATTGCTATTGGTTATAATAGCACATTTCCAGTGACAGAGAAGGAAACCACTTCCTCAAATGGTTTAAATCAAATAAATCAATCAAATACTTAGATCAAATTTCCTATCAGATGAGTAAAAGCAAATCACGTATATATGCATATCTGATAAAATTCCTTTCTTCCATTAGATGTTTGCATTAATGTTTCTGTTGGCCTGTCTTAAACAATAACGAAGGATGTGGTTAAAACCTTAGCAGGCTGAAAACAATGAAAACATTGATGGTTCATTCACTATTCATGGAGAATCCGCTCTTACATGCACTTGTAATCTTCTTTTAATGTTTGGAAGATTTGTTCACCTTCATTCTAGTACTAAGAAAAACAATGTATAAAGGGATGCCTCTCTAGACAGCACAGACAAAATGACATGCTTTAAAATGCTTTCTCCTTTCTGTTTTATTTTATTCATGGTAGAGTATTTTAAAGCAATTTTGAACTGTTTTCTGAGTAAGAATTCAGGACTTCGGTTAGCTAAGTGCTTTGATATGACTGAAGTTATGAGCTCAGGATACCACACCTCACGTTAACATCTGCTTCCAATTTACCATCTTTGATTTCTCACATCCTCCAGAGAGCTTGCCAAATGCTCCCACACTAATGCAAAACACACGAGAAAAGCACTTTACACCTCAGACCGTGTGAGTTTCCTTGACATCTGTTCAAGGAGTTCAATATTTTATCCTTTAAAGACTACTAGATCTAAATTTTAATACCAAACTTCCTGTAGGTGATTAGTCTTCCTGCAGGTTATTAAAGGAACACTATTAGGTCAGAAAACATGCACTGGACTTTCAGGTGGTAGAAATCGGTAGATGTGAAACTCTCCCTTTACCCCATCAAGAATCTGAACCAGTGCAGTAAAAGTCTCCTGATGACCTGGCTGGCAGCTGGAGGTTCACGGAGATCCTGCCCTTGACCTGACGCTCAGCCTGGGACAGGTCGGTCCAGGCAGGATGGACTTCCCCAGTTAGCCACCCCAAACCACCCATGTCCCAGGTGGCAGCCCAGCCTGACTTCCCTCCAGCACTGCCTACACCTGCAGGCATCTGGAGAAACCGGATGATTCCTCCCTTTGCCTAAGGTGTCCCTTGAGTCAAAACAAAGATTTCCAGCCAGCCCATAACGGCGAGCCCAGCCATGCCCATGGGGAGCCAGACACCTGGAGTTGCCCAGGGCACCCCGGCGTTTCAGGCCAAGGCAGAGGAGCACCTGAACCAAGTACAGCAACCTGGAGAAGCAAGGGGCACAATACTGACCCTGCCTTGGAGACAGTGGCCAGCAATTTGTATACGACAGTGAGCTGCTGAAATTTCACACAGGAATTGGGACACTTGGTGGGGAAATCAGAAAGGTCCTGGTGGTCCCTCAGAGCCAAGAGGCACTGACGTCTTGCTGAATAAGAGCAGTGCTCCAGACATTTCCCAGTCCTCATGGAATATTTATTTATAGAAGGAAGAACCTGCTGAAAATGTCTTAAAGGCAAGTAGCAATCTCAATGAGACTTTTATTGGCTGGGCGTAGGCAATCTTCTCCAAAGCACGACAAGGGATATGGGAAAGGGGATGAACCGCGAACACGGGAAGTTTGAGGAGAGTTGACACAGAGCCCAAGAACATCATTCAGGCTGGGTGCAAGTCCAGGCCTCAGGAGGTCACCTCAGCATAAACCATCCCATCACAAACCATTAGAGCGAGCAAAACAAAGACAGCCAGAAAATCACTAAAGATTGCTAAATCACTAAGACTGCTAAATCACCCTCCGGGGGAGCCTGCTAGAAACTTTGTAATTTTAAAAACACAAGATCCTCTAAGTTTGCAGGACTTATGTTCCTGTTGGGCCCACACCTCGACCCTGTATCCATCACAGAAGCCACCACTGTTGAACTACCATGAGCTCCCCAGGAACAGGAGACCAGGGCACTATTCAACTATTTTCATTAGTAGACAACAAACTAGAGAATACATTACTGAATTTTTGAATGACACTGAGCTCATAATTGCTACAAGCGTTTTGGAAGATCAGAATAGAATTTAAAAGGATCCTGGAAAATCGGAGAAATGTGTGAAGTGAATAGGACACAATTCAATAAGGACAAGTGCAAAACTCAACATTTAGAAGGAATAATCAGCCGTTCAAATTGGGGAACAATGAGCCAAAGAGTAGTGTTTTTAAGAAAGGATCTGAGGGTTCTTAGGAATTAAAAAATGAATATTGAATGGGAAATAAAATTGTACTTCAAAAAAAAGCAGACACTGTTGTGGATTGTATAAAAAGAAGAGTGTCTTGTAACACACATGAAGCAACCTATCAGCCCTATTTAGCTTTGCCAGGGCTCATCTGCAATGCTGGGCCAGTTCGGGGCACCATCCTTCAAGAAAGAAAACAACACATAAGGGCCAAGGGTAGCAGAGACAGACCTGGGGCAGTCAGGGAGATGCCTTTCCTGGGATGGGTGGCATCGATAATGGCAGGAGAAGGAGACGGAGGTACTGCAGCATCGGCAGCTCAGCCAGTCACAGCCAGAGGTGCTAGATCTCACTAATGGGAACTTGGAGAGCACCCAAGAAAAAATAATGTACCTTATGAACTGTAAGAGCTGTGTTTGCACAGAGGTGTGAGCCTGATGTGAAATCAGCTGCTTGACGTATCTGCGCTAGAGTGATTTCTACAGCAACACGAAGAGTGCTTTCCTGTGCCCAGTGTGTCACCGTCCTTGACAGTAGTGCTTGACAGTAATACCCCGTAAAGTCAAGGGTGCTTCAGTTGTTATAGTGCTTTAACTTTCAGAGGACACTACTGTCAGCACTGGAGTTAAGAGCTGCAGAGCCCTGGTGCAATCTCTGCTACCCTTAGCCTCAACACAATAATTGCGGTTTTTCCCTCTCTCTTGCCTGGCAGATCAAAGTGCGCAGGACTTCTTGCACACTGTGTATGAAGGAGCAACAGACTCCAGCCAAGGCACTCTGGTTCAGCTGGCATGTTCCTTCTTCGTGGACGCTGGCGTGCAGCTGTCGCCCCACTTCACTGCACGTGCTGCACGCTGGGCAAACAGCAGCCTGCAGCAAACCAACTTCACTGACCCCAACAAAACCGCAGCCCAAATACAGGAATGGATCACCGGTAACCTTGGAGGTAACGTAACAACCCATGAGAATGACTGCACATGAATAAAATGTAAAATAAGAGTAATGAGTGAAACTGCATTTAACCAAGTATGAAGCTTCTTGCCACACTCCGTGTTGTCCAAACCAAGGCTGAGAGCTAGGGAATCTAATTCTTGTGCTGATGGTCATTTTTAATGTGAGGAAAGAGCTGGAATAGGTCTGAATCTGTGATTATAAGTTTGCAGTATCAAGCTGGCAACCACTTGGCCTTGTTCCTCTAATTTTTAAAATGGCAACCCTTTGCAGTGTTTCCAGTTTTAATGAGGAGCAGCCAAATTCCCCAGGGACCGAGTTCACTGCATTGAATGCTTTCATGCTGCTGTGGGGAACACACAGGGCCATAAGCTCAGCAGTCAGACTCTCAGTCTAAAAAGTCAAAAGGGGATATAAAAAGAAGTTGCTTTCCACACAAGCAAGAAAAATAATGAAATTAAGTTCTGTGTTAATGAAAAAATAATTGAAAAAGCAAGTCCTTAGAAGCAGCAGAGCAAATCAATCTCTGATTTGTCCCATCAACTTAAGTTACTTGAGTGATAATTTGGCCATCAACACGTAAGGTGATGTTAAACACACACATTAAAGCTGCTATTGAAAAAAAATTCTATCCTTCTCAAATGAAGTGTAATAAGTGATCCAGCTTCATGATAGAAAAGTATTGCTCTAGAAGCAGGTACTAAAATGGGAGTTCATATTGTGGTGCTCACATGCATATCGATGAATTAAAAGTGGATCACGCTTTCAAAAATCTGAGATACCCAAAGCAGGATCAGTTGAACTGCCAAGTAAATAGGAGAGGGGGAGAATTAGAATATAAGCTTCAGTTGACTTAGTTACTTCATAAAACAGTCTGTAATCATGAATCCATTTCATGAGGGATTTCTGGTGCTAATGATGAACCACTACAAGATACTTGTGGGCACATTTAAGGTAGAAAACCAGTTAGGGCCAGGGCATGGTGCTGAGCACTGGGCTGCTGTCATCCATGCTGTTCAACGAGTAGCATAGTCCTGGCACAACTTTGGCCCTCAACATTGATCAACTCGAGCTCAGTTCTGGGGAGAGCATGGATCAACAGGCAACCCCGATGCAGTCCATGTACAAGTGGGGAGGGGAAGGTAGAGGGTTTAACAGTGCCTTGTGAGTTGTGCCTCTTGCTCTTAGGGCCGGAGAGCAGTCCCGACTTGCTTTATTTACTCACACAGACCTGGCCTTTAGGCCTGGGCGAGTAGGATGGCACATGTCCCCCTCCCCGCCTCTTTTTCTTGCAGATGGGGATGTGCGTGGCATGCCATTAGAGAGCGCTGGGTCACCACTCAGCCAGGTCTCCCTGGTGAGCACCATGTACTTCAAAAGCACGTGGCAAAAGAAGTTTTCCATTATGGATACCCAGATGTTGCCTTTTACCACGGCGGAGGGCTCAACCATGAAAGTGCCCACAATGCATCACACAGCCGAAGTTAACTACGGTAACTGTCCTTGATCCAGATGTGCTCTATTGTACAACATGGAACAGTTTTATTTATTTAATTTCCACAGCTACTGCACTAAGATGTGTTATTTTCCCAGCTTGGAGAAGTCTCAGAAGAAATCCCATCAAATGAAGAGACCACCTGGGTGACCAAATTGACTCCTTACAATCCCAGGCAATCACGAAACAGATCCTGGGTTCAAAATGGTTCCTAAAATATCTACTGTCCATGCCCCATCCCTCACAGACCAACATCTCCCAGGACTCCATAACAAACTTGCCAGCTGTAGCAAACAACTGAAAGGCACCAAGATAACGTGCCAGGAGAAGGGAACAGGAGAGACTGAGGGTAGCGCAGTATACAAAGTCCTTTGCAATAGCATGGAGCTTGTCAAATAAAGCTGCCTAGGAAGGGAGGACCGTAGGAAACACATCTGACCCCATGACAGAGGGGCAGTTGAGACTAAAACAATATCAAGCTCCTACCAATTTGATTTGTGGGGTGGCTAAGAAATTTCCTGGCCCCTCAGCCTAATCACTGTTGGTCCCTTGAGTATGTGAGCACCAGAGAGAGGATAGTATCACCGGGAGCACCAGCACTACACACCCATCCCTCCTGTCTCTGGCCACAGCCTTTCTCCAAGGCTTTAGGGTAAAACTGCAAATCTTCAGGGCCCAATTCTGGAACAAAGAGGAGAGAAATTTTCATGGCCCTTATACCCAATCAGTGGATGATCTCAGCACGGGCTTAAAACAGTATAAATATAGGTCAAACTTTTATTTGTATAATATATGAATACACTGTATGCTCCTTTCAAAGGCTTGGAGTATGTGGGTTGCTGACAGAAGGACTCACACTGTAGGCTTAATTTTCTACCACCAGGAATTCTGCCATTTAGCTCTACAATCTCTTTCAAAATATAAAAAGCTCCTTTCCCTTCTACCCTAAATGTCAAAACTGCACTCGGGTAAAAACCTTCCTAATTCCAAGTCTAAATTTTTTCAAGACCAATTTATATCTCTTAGCATCATGCCAGCTTTATCCTTTAAGTTAAATAGTTTCTCTTCAGCTTTGATATTTACTCCCAAATATATTTGTGAGTCACCAAGCTGCTTCTCAATTTCCTGTTAGCTAAGCTGAAGATGCCAGGCTCTTCTAAACTATTCAAAAAACAGATACTCCAATTCTCTGCTAGTCCTTTTCTGCACTTTTCCAATTTAAATTAATCTTTCTTGAAAATAAATGACCAGGAATGTACATAATACTTTTAATGAGGCCACATACATGCTCAATAAAATGTTCTAAGTATTTCTACGACTTGCTAAAAATACCTTGCCTAGTGCACCGCAGAATTAGCTCAGGGTGGTTACTCAAGGTTGACCCCACCTGGGCGTTTTTTCTTTCTCCATTTTTTTCCAGCTGATGAGTCCTAGGTAAATCAAGGGGAGGGAAATCTCCACAGGTACATACCTTTTTTTGTGTTTTTGAACCATCATTTGATTTCCACCACTCCAGTCATCATGGTAACCTCACTGTTTGTCTTTGATGAAAGTCTTGAGTGTTGGCAATACTTTGGAAAGCTGCTGGTAACCTCTTTTCAACCGGGGACCCCCTCTTTTAACTTAGCTCGCTGTAGTTTCCCCTTCAAGTGGCTGCTTGTTGCCTTTCATTTCTTGCTCTAATTGCCATCACTTCTACCTGTAAATAGGGCCACAGTGAAACTATGTTTAACGTTTTACTTAAAACTAGATGGCTGGATCTATGCCTTTTTATCAAATTACTTATCAAGTCAAAAAAGCTTATAGTTTTGTTTGCTAGGGTCTACCTGATACTGCAATTTATCTCACTTTCTATTTCCCCTCTGTGATTTGATTATTCTTTTCTCCAGAGTATGTTCTAAAACTTTTCAAACAAAGACCTAAAATTTCCCAGACTACTTTCTTTTTCTTTATAAATGTAATCCTGTTTTCCAGTCATGGGAAACAACTGAATCTACAGTCTATTAAAAATCTTTGCTGACCCATTTACAATTCCACATCCAAGCTCTTTTCATATTCTGGGGTGGTGATCATCCAGGCCCCAGATTATTATTTGTCTCTCTCAAGTAGTGTAAACTTTGTTTCTGTCTATGGTGTTGTAATACCTCCTGTTCTTTCCTCATTTCCATCAGGAACCTCACCATTATCCTTTGCTATATCATCAGATTATTTCTTTCCCATCAGTTCCAGCTAATAATTGGGATGAATCTAAAAAAAAATTTAATTCACAGTGTTCAGCAGCACCATTCTTTCTTCCTTTTTCTCTTGTTTTTATGGCTGTAACATTTTCCTTTTCTGTGCAACAGTCACATCAAGCAGGCAGTTGGCAGCTCGTTATTTCTATGCCTTTTTATCTCTGAACCGTAATTCAGCTGGCTAAGGAATCACATTTTCTGCTCTTTGCAAGTTTGTCCTTACTGTTACGTCTTTCTTTGCGGTGTTTCTTCTTCCAGGACATACGTGGTGCGTCCACCACACTTCTTCCTCCTGCTGGGACTGCCAGCTCCTGAGTGCACTCACCCCTCTGACTCGGAGCAACTCCCATCTTCTTTACATTTGAATCTTGTATAAGTTAATTGATTTTACTGAGGAGTGCAGAGTTTTCCTTTCCAAAACCCTACACCTTATCATCCTCATTGTTGAGTGACATAAACTACTACATGAATTCGTGATCTTTCAGCCCTAGGTGATTTTGTATCACCAGCTCACTGCAGGGAGTTTGCTACTCATGATGTCTGGAATAGCCTCATCCTCCGTTGCTTTGCAAGCTATTCAGGTAAACAAACAGGTTTCTTGGGACTAACACACATCTATTAGCTCAGGAACAGACCTTTTCTCTGAGCTTCCTTTTTTAGTAGAGTGAGATAAAGAAATGAGGGGTCTAAAATGACGGAAGGCAGGGGGCTGCCAGTGCTTATACAAGTGGAGATCTTGGGTAAAGACCAGCGATCAGAAATTCAGCAGCTGAGCTGCATTGACTGACCATATATTTGCTCCTGAGCCCTTGCAAACTTAATGTGAAAACGTTAGTCATGCTTGTCTGACCATTTGCCTAAACACAAGAACACCATCCTATTGTCCTTAAGTAGGTAGCTGGGGTGTTAAATATTTGCCCAGAAAAGGAAAGTTAACCAAAATACCAGGATTACCTTTTCATCCAGTCTGAAATGTGTGAGGTCTCTGCAGCTGGAAGAAAGTCGAAATGGTAGGGATCATTTAAAATTTGCTGATTGTCAGATTTGATAGGGCCAATTCAGTCTTTGTCACTAGAAATGATAGCAACATTTCTAACAAATCAGTTTGAAATTAATGCAAAAGGCAGGTTTACTACAGAAAAACAGAAGCAGGAGATAACATTCCTTCATTATTAAATGATAGCAGCTGTCTACCTTCAGGATACAAAACACAGAGCAAGAAAGATTAGCTGTGGCCTGCTATCGATCTCAGCATTTACAACACTGTTTATCCTTTTAACATGGCCATGCAGAACAAATCAACCTGCGGACAGTTAACACTGCTCTAAGAAAATGTCAACATTACTGTTTACACGTGCCTTTTAAACACTGCAGCTATTCTACATATATTCATTTTTCCATGCAATTTGTTAACTATATTTGAATACTGATTTAGCATATATAATCTTTATGGGATGCTCAAAATCAGTTCAAGTTAGGAACGCTAAATGTTCTGACTCAATAATCTCAAGTCTTTGATTTTCTTTCTAATTAACAAATAAGGACTGTATAACCTTTGTGCACAACGTGTTGACTTCAACATATCAGCATGCCCACAAATTAAACCACTCATGACCAGCGCACCACAAACGTAAATCTTCCCTTCTTGCATGTTACAAACCAGAAGGTCTTTCCTTGGCAAAGCGATCCATGTGCTGGGAGGTGGTTTTAACAGCGCAATTCCCTCTCTGCATTGCATGGCAGGAGGGCTAATCCAAGAGCCTAAAATGTAATCTAGCAGAATAATCAACACTTAATGAATCCTATCTAATCCAGATCTGCAAAACTAACAAATGTTGTATACTAAACATTTGGGACATCCCATAGCTACTTATTTATTGGCAAATATTTAGGTATTATGAACATGAGTTACCTACATTCTGTTATTTACAACCCCTGACTCAATAAGCGTGAGTATCTACCCCTGAAGATACAACTACTACAGCTGGGTGAAGAGGGAGTATTTCGGATGGCCTGCGGCAATGGCAACGATAAGTCATTTGCTTGCAACTTGTATTTAACTCCTGGCCTGCTGACTATTGCTGAGTGATTCTGAAATGCTACTTATTGGATTAACAGATGAAAAAATAAGAAAGTAAAATTGTGATAACCGAATCTCTTCTACTGTATAACAGAGTCCGTTGGACTAATTGTTCATTGAAATATGGAATTAAAATGCAACTTTTAAATGGCTGTTACAAATTCTTGCATAACTAATTACAAGTTCAGAAGCCCACCAGCTTTTACTTTTGAGACTAGTTTTTATAACCTTCATCTGATTTTGATATGTTTTAGGCCTAGATTTTCAAAAATAAGAAATTTGGTGCTTAAATAAGCATAAGCCTAACTACTTTATTGTTTAACATAACTATTTGTTTCTTGAAATAAGCTTAAAACTGATTTTTAAATGTAGTAAAGATGGAAACAGGAGGCAAAGTAGATTTCAGTTAATTTAATAGGACACTTCATTTTGTTTTTGTAATTTCTATCAGTAGTGAATTTTTAGTGAAAGATATTAGAAAATTCTAAGTTTATTCAAAGAACAAGCATTGCAGGAACAGTCACCATAAAGTTACTGTCCTTGCCTCGGTAATGTTTTTTAAACTCTGAGCAAGGAGGACAGCTACTATATGAGAAAGTAATAAAATATCCATGCTCTGTTGAGACGGTGCTTCAGGTACTATTACCGTCATTGGCATTTTTCTGCGAAGATATATATACACACACATATCACATAATCGGCTCTGTTCAGATGAGCCACTGTTGTGAGTTAAGAGCAACCTGAGCTGGCTGCCAGAGCCCATGCGCTAGAGACAACCCCTTACATCCCATCGCTGCTGTTCTGAACAGTCTGCTGACCCAGGCTTGGGTTGTGGATTTTGGGGGTTTTTTTTCCCCACTTGAATGATGAAATAAGATCTATGTTTCCCCACCTGCAGGACAATTCCAGACTGCAGCTCTGGAGGCTTTCAGCGTGGTCGAGTTACCCTACCTGGGGGAGAAACTCAGCATGTTCCTAGTGCTTCCCAGCCACAAAAGAACACCTTTGTCCCAGATTGAGTCTCACCTTTCTGCCAAAACCATAACCCTCTGGGCCAACAGCTTAAAGAGAACGAAGATGGACATTTTTCTACCTAGGTAAGCAATATTAACACTGCAAAACCGCTTCACTACTTCAGTTGTTAGAATTTTGTGTGATAGTGCTGACACAAGCAATGTGTGAGACAAAATCAAATGAGATACTTTCAGTTTTGTTATTCGTCACATGATCAGAAAAGCTCTGACCCTTTCTTAAGCCATGAAGAGGTGAGCTGGGAATGCCAAAACTTTCTGGTATGCTCTATACTGTTTTAAAAACTAAGTATTTCAGTTGATCCTACAGCTTTTACTTAAAATTTGTTTGGGATATAACAATCCTTTAAAGATCTAAAAAGAGATAAATGTTCCTGGCCCTTTCCCACACTCCGTTTTTCTCTTTGCTTAAGGAAGAGTAAATATATAACCTTTAAAAAAAATGCAATAGCTTATTTTTACAACTTGCTAGTATACTACGGAAGTACTCTACAAAGAACTTGGGGCCCCCTACCAGTCATACCCATCTTTCTGTGCACAAAGCAACTTTCAGGCATCCGTTTTCCACATTAGTCATTCGCTGTTGCTAGCAAATGCACACATCCTGGAGGTAGTTTCTGTCATCTATTCAAATGAAATTGCATAGCAGGAGGAATCAGGTGCAGGAGGGCCTTTTGTGGCTGCACCTATTGTATGGATCAGCATGGAAGGGCTTCATTACACATCTCTTACAATACATTCCCCACCTTAATGAAGCGCTGGAAAACAATTTGTAAGTTAATATTCTTTTTCTCCAAGCTAATCTTTTGCAAATGTTTCAAAGGGCCCTTTGCTACAGCCAAAAAGATTGTTAAAAGAGGACACTTGGGGAAATACAGAGTTCATGTGTCAAGAAGACTGAGAGGCGGTATGATTGCAATAGGTGGAGGTGAGGGATTCCTTCCATTAACGTCTTCAGGTGAAAATGAGTCGCTTTTCTGCAAAGTACACTTAATCAGACGGAAGGCATGGGCTCATACAGAAATAGATGGATGAAATGCAAAGGCTTGAAATAAATTGCATCTGTTCCACCTTTTAGCTCTATGAAACTATGAATGCCACATTTAAATAAAATCTATCATATCAATTTCAGGTTCAGTATTCAAAGCCTTTTTGACCTAAAGACAGTTTTTTCTGCCTTGGGAATTAGAGATGCATTTGATCCCATCACTGCTAATTTTAAAGGTATTTCAGGTAAGAGGCTTGACTGAATAAAAAATGACCACTGACCCAACAGTTGTAGACTCTTAACATTTGAATGATTCCATAGACCCGGGCCTTCTGAATTGATTGTACTTCTTCCTCTGTGAAACTCTAAAATACAATTCACACTCAACTGTTCTACTTTATTATTGGCAATTGTATTTTGAGCTTTTGTTTTTTGTCTGTCTTGATTATTCCCCCCCCCCCTTTTTCTTTAAGATTAAAACTGTGAAGACAGCGTAGGCCTGGAAAATGGTTATTTATTCAGAAATTTAGGATACTTTAGTAAAACTTGCATTCCTATTTGTGTTTTTAAATAGTCATTTAACAGTTAGGGATGCTGGTCCAACAAGTCGGTATTCCAACTCCTGACACTGCAAAAAATATTGGTGCACACAATATTGGCATATGCCCGTGTTATGTTGTCTTGCTAATCCTGTCACCAGTGGACTATATTATACTTTCCCTTTGCTAAAATACTAGTGTTGTGATTGTAAACTGTCTTGGTTTTGGAAGTCTGAAATTATCCCGCTCCTTGGAAAATTTTTATCCCTATTTAATATTAAGTGCTAAAATAATCCAAATTACCTTTTTTATTTTTACTACTTTCAGCAACAAAAATTATTTCAACTTAGTAATTTCTCCTCATAGCAAAGACTCAGAGTGGTAGCTGCTCCTAGAGATGCAGAGAGTTCATGCAATTCTTGTGCGTGTCAGTAAATAAATGGAGGTATGACAACAAGAAATTCCTCCAATTTAGACAAACCTGCTTTTACAGAAAAGTTGCTTTTCTGGGATGAACCTCAGAAGGAACATTACTTATGGGGTTTTTTATACCCCTTTTAAAATGGAACATAGCATTTTTTTATTGCAGTACATATCTCAGACTGCAGAGATGCACGTTAAAAATAATTTGTTACTGTCCACTTATTTGTTAAAACCTGCTGCTTTGTTTATTGCAAACAAATGTTAATATAGTGATAAAGTGCACAAGGATGCATTTTATAAAGTTAACATCTATTTAAATAACATAAATACTTTGAGGAAATTAACTCCATCATAAACGATCTCATTTAGCAGCTTCTTTCCTATGCAACTTGGTGGCTTTCTGCTTCACATCATAAGGCTTGTAGAAGTGTTGGATCCTGCCTGTGGTGGGGTTATGGATTAAAGGATATGTTGAGGCCCTTTGCAGTTCTACTCTTACACTACTCAGCTATGTATCGTAATAGTAGGGTTATAGCTATGATGGTCTAAGAGTTACGTGAGGCAGAGTTTATAAGGAAGGTTTATCTTTTATTTAACCAATAGATACAGTTGGAAAATGAACAGGTAAGTTTTCAGTTCCACTTCCATATGAAGCAGAAGCCGTAATCTTCAGAATATTTACTCTCAGATCACATTTAGCAAACAAATGTGTTACTTCATTTCAGACCTCAAATAGCTTTTTTTATGCCTGAAAGCCTCTTTTTTTTTTCGTCCAAAATATGTTAGATTTATCTAATTAAAAAAATTCTGCCTCTCCCCAGTTTTGTCTTGCTTGTTTCCATCCCAGACTTTTGACTGGACAAAATTCAGATAGAAACAGATGAAATGCTCTTTTAGTATTTCCCTGTTTTCACCTATATGTCAGACTCGATCCTTATATTCAGACAAGAAGAAAAACTTCACAACCTTCCCCGCTTTCTGCCCTCCGCAGTCAGCTGGGGAGAAGCAGACTTGTAACACTCTCCCTGGTATCCTTCTGAAATTAATTTTTTTCCAAGCTCCATTTTATGTCACAGTCCCATCGCTTCTTCCTGAAGAGAGGTTTTTCTGCAGTTTCCCTTCCACCAGTTCCTCGATCCAGCATTCATTCACTGTTCGAATTAGTTTCTACTCTTACCATGTAACGTTGCTTTCCACCACAACCTGGGAGACCTCTCAAACTGGTAATTCGCATTCAGCAGTCTACTGTCGTTCATATAGCGGGAAAACAGTCATAAAGATGAAAGAAGAGGTAAACATGGGTAGAAATGAGGGAGAAGAGGGTATTCACAATGGTGACTTAAGGCTCCCTGAAAAGTCCCTCTGTAGTCAAGGCAGTCAAATGTGTGCATTCCTACCCACGCTGGCAAGGGAACTGCCTCCCTCTGTCAGCAGTACAGAGATCCGAGACATGCTGTCTTCCCTAGACTGAAGTAACCTAATGTTGCCTTCCTGATGTGTTATCTCACTTTAAAGATGTTCCTATGTTGTGTCAAAGCAATGCTCTTCTGTAGCCTGAGCCCAACTCCCACCACTGGACATCAGTGGAAATGGGCCAGATTGCAGCTGGCTCCATCAGCAGAAATGCGAGGACACCTCACAGCTCTTCCAGGTTTACACCGATACAAACACAGTCAAAATCTTGTCATTCCCCCTCCCCCAGATTAGAAAGCAAATCTGAATTATGAGAAGTCAATAGCAGAAATGCCTTTAAGCAGAAAAATATTCCAACTTTGCGTTCACAGTAGTGATTCTTTCCTAAGAACTTCACTGCTTGTCTGAAAGCAGGATCCACGTTTCACGTAGAAGTCAGAGGCACCTGGGCCATCAAGCAAGCTGCACTCTGACAAAGGACATGTTCAGGCAGATAGATTCAAGATGCACATGAACGTTTTAGCTTATTCTCCAAGTTGCCTGCATATAAGGTCACGCTGGCCCAAAAGCCAGTATGTAGTTGTACTATCTCAGCTACCTGCTGAGCTAAAAAGTCCTTAATATTAAGCTAGCTTAGATGTTCAGACTGTCTATGCTCATCCATATTAGGCACACGCATGAAAAATCAGGAGCTGAGTCAAAATTAGAACTGAGGATCTTCTAACGTGGAAGCCAGATACAGAAAAAGCAATTGAAAGGCAGGTTTATACTGTGCTGTCTTTCTGAACATGATGTGGTGAAGGAACCAACGGAAGGAACTTGCAACAGAAGAAAAGCTAATAAGGTGACATGTATTGTATTCAGTATGCTGTCATTTAATTAGTTGCCCAGGTGAAATACCTAACCATTATTGTCATCCTTAGATGCTGCAGAAAAAAGGTAAAAGCATTCTGAATTAAGAAAAAAAAAAAATTGTGTTTGCAATGGAATTCAGAAAATAACTATTAATATTAGTTTCTGGGTTTTTTGCAGAGCAAGGTAGTCTTTATATTTCAGAAGCTATTCACAAAGCAGAGATTGAAGTAACAGAAGATGGTACAAAGGCATCAGGAGCTACAGGTAAATCAAATATACAAACTTTACTTTTCAATTCTTAAGATTATCACTACAGAAACAACTAGTAGTCTTTTATTTAAAAAAAAAAAGCATGGTAGCATTTAAATGTATGCCTAACCTAAATTTAAACTTCTACATTTAACACACTTCCATTTTACCTTTGTAATTGTTCATAAGAACTCTTAAAACTCTTCCCTTTCCATGTTTGGTCTTAGACTAACATATAAAGACTCAAGTGAAAACCAGCTTTACCAGCCCAGGGAAAGTCCAGTTTAAGAAAATAAACTGCTGGTTTATTTCTGTTGGTCAAATCTGTTTGCTCAGATCATAAAAGCAAAGAACAAAAAAAGGTTACTAATGTTTTGTCCATAGCTCCTGAACCATTATGGGGTTTGTTTTTTGAAGATGATCTCTTTGGTAGCGTTAAAGGTCATGATGGGAAAGTTTTGTCTTCATGAAGATGAAGACAGGCTTGTTTCTTACATACTTTGAGGTGTGACCTTCATCTGCAATAGTTTCTGCTAACAGATCATTTCCAAGTAAGAAGCTGGGGCTGGCTGAGTGGGGAGATTCAGAGTAAAATCTCAGCTATGGACTAGAGAGTCAACAAATGACCTTCATAAGCTGAATGACATCTCAATAGAAATCCTGCATCACAGCTTACATAAAACAAGGGAACTAAAATTAACTGAGCTGTGCAATCCCCATTTTTCTTTTTATTTTTGCCACATAAGCTTTATCAAAGGCGGCCTGTGCTTTTTTGTTTCGCTTTCGGAAGCCTCAGATGCTCCAGAGATGCTACAAGTCAGTGTGAAAGGCAGCGGCAGCCCTCGACCCCTGCGTGGATTACGTAGGCATTACTGCCACTTGCTTCTCTTCAGAAGCTGAACATGTCCTCAAGCTGTTCAAACATCAGCACAGCAGAAGGGTGATGGGTAACCACATCTCGCCTTGCCGCTTCCCTGGCCTGTGCTGACTGTAGATGTGCTCTACACACACACTGCAAACGCCGGTGGGTCCTTGACTGCAGGTCAGGGCAAGATCTGGGTCTCTCCCATTTCTCCTGCCTGCCCTCCTTTCTTTCAGAAAGAAACCCGAGAGGCATGTAGGGCGAGCACCGCAGTGCGTCTCACTGCGGCGCCCAGGATGTTGGGCTGCCCTGTGAAGTGCACTGCAGACATCCCAGGGTCACGATGCTAAAAGGAACCCGAGCACCCCTGGTTTGGTGTAGTATTCCGCTAGCAACAACTCGGAATGAGACACATGCTGTACATATGTGGATGTACAGTGCAAATTTGACATGACTAAGTTAACGCTTCTGCAGAGCTGTACAATTTTAAATTTTATGACAATTTTCATCTCTACTGGGGCATTAATATTTTTAGTAATTTTTCTGGTAATTCCCATACAAAATAAAAGCTTTTAGGTGGCTTCAATTACATACCAAAGACTAAGGGTAATAGCAATCAGACATCAGACCTTTATCCCACCAAAACCAATGCCAAGAATTCCCTTAACTCCAGTCAGACCAAGCCAAGAAGCTGATTTAAAAAGGTATGATTATGTTTATTGTTTACTTTTAAAGCTCTGGATCTAGTCACACGGTGGCTTGAAAGCTAAAGTAGGCACTTTCTTTAGGAGCACTGGAGTAGTGCTGCTCAAACTAGTTTTACTGAATCTTACTTGAATTTTCAATTTAATTCCATTGTTTTAGTTGCTTATTAAAAAATAATCCAAATCTGGGGTTTTTAGTTGTTTGTTGGTTTGGTTTTTTTGACAATGTATTCTTAATACTATATAGCTACAAGGAAGAATTTATTTAAACAAGATTGTATTTTAAGAATAGCTGAGCCATCATAATTCTTAAGGACTCTTTAATCTAATAGATTATTAGATTAAATAATAATTTAATTATTATTTAATAATTCCCCTCCTCACAACCAGAGAGGGGAAGGACAGTCAAAAATTGAGATTGAGGATACTTAGGTTTTGTTGAGAGCTCTGACAGAGAAATTCCAAGATGACGTAGATATTTCTCTGCTGTTCGTCTCCCATTTAGAAAAGGGACTACATTTGTGCCTTGCTTAGCTTTTTTACCAGAACAGCATAGCTAGGAATTGGCTAACAGGTTAGGCAATAGCACGGTATGACTTCAGCAGAGTTAGGGCTGTGATAACAACAAAAATCATATTACCTTTGAAATCCAAAGCCAGACAGACTCACTTCAGCAACGAAATACACACGGATCACCCGCACGTAGTCTCTCAACACTTGACTTTTTCATTCACCCAGACCGATTTCACTGTTGGATAAAATTGTTGTTTTATTCTTAAAGCAGAGGAGCAACTCAAAACTCAAGGTACTAAACACCAGAGCTTGAGGGCACTGTATAGAAGATGGAATGAAAATGGACACATTTTACTAATGTTTTCTTTGTTGCATTACAGCAATGGTATTACTAAAAAGATCTCGAACGCCTATTTTCAAAGCAGACAGGCCTTTCACATTTTTCCTGAGACAAGCTAACACAGGTACGCATGCTCTCCGTTTCAGTAGCAGAATCCTTCACAAGTAGCACTGAAATCAGTAACAAGTTCTTTGTAAATAACGTGCCGTTCTTCAGTCCAGGAAATTCCAACAACCATGGAAACAGTGGGTTTAGGGTTTTTAAAGCATAAAGAATACAGTTTAATTTCTTTAAAAAGAATGCATGATAGTCACAGAAGTCAGGGAAGCCAGATTAGCCTCTTCTATATATATGCAGTATGTGCTCAAAAAGATTTCTACCATAATTATAGGCACTACAAAGATCTTACAGATCTTAAGTGCCCCAGGATTAGGGACCGACCTCCACAAGGCAATTCAAGTTAAAAATGGGCTGGATCAGCTGGATTAACATCTGAAGAAGTTAAAATGTAAGTCTTTCCCTATAAATGAAACTTATTCATGCCTACGCAGGTGGCACACAGCAGACTTCTCCCTGTAGGCACCAGGACTCCAGGGCCTGAAATTCCCTGTATTACTCCCACCTCAGCAGTTTCTAGGGGGATATCTCAGAAATTCTGAAGACCAACAAGCTTTTGCCCAGCTACAGCTCAGAATATGCGGAAGCAAGTTTCTCTTCCCTCGTGTCTTGAATAGCAAGCAACACCTTCGAGGAGATAGTTTTACACATCTGGACCCTTCACTACTCAGTATCCTCATAAGACATTCAGGTTATCAAAAGCTGTGGATATTCCCTGTATGTAATCAGGTAACTTAGCTCTGCAAAAAGCCTAACTTGTATCTTCACTTTTGCAAGGAACTGCCAAAAAATGCATGTTTCTTTTGCAACTGATAACTCTTTTTCTTGCGAATGAACTCCCCCAGCCCCCCAAACAAACAAACAAAACTGCAGAGCAGGTCTGAAAGAGTGAAGCATCCCAGTGCTCAGTTTGGCTTTGGTATTAGACTATATGTCTCATTTCAGATGTCCAATCACGTAAGTTACTCCAGAATCTCTGCCAAAGGAAAACACCATATAGCTCGTTGGCAATAATAAAGAAGAATTGCATTATGCACCATTTAGCAGGTGTTTGCTCCTCCGAAGCATCAGGCCATCTCCAACAACTCTTACCATTCTTAGCAATGTGGTAAATTTGCACATTAAGTATTTTCCTAAAAATCCTTCAAACCACCAAGTTTCTCTCATAACTGGGGTCACGTGCATTTAGATTTCAAGGGAACATATAGCCATTTATAGGGTTCAGTAAAACACTGGGGCCTGGCAACAAGACCGAAGAGAATCATTTTCCTTACCTGCTTCCAAGCAACACACTCCGTTCTCTTAGTCGGTGAATACCTGTGTATGTAACACTCCGCTTGAAAAACCTGTATCTCATGTTTTGACCAAAATGCAGACATATCTTTTTAAAGCAAAAAGCACTACCTTGGTGGGGGTTTTGTTTTAAATACGCTTTGGCAATCATTACCATTCAGTGAATAAAAGTATGTTTACTTGGCAAATGCAGAACTAAAAAAAAAAAAGGCACTAAAAGATGATCTATGAAACCCAAGCCACAGACTCTTCAGTATTAAGAACAAATGGGTTTCGGTGAATAAAATTGCTCAGTTTACAGTATATGATAAGTTATATAAATAGGAAGGAAATCAGATTGTAAAACAGGATTTTTATACGAGGCATAACAAAATACATACCTTCCAATCAACTCAAAATCAGAAGTACATTTCTGTAATTTAAGCTTTTTAATGCAAAAAGTGAAAACCGTGAAAACATTCAGTCATTTTATTTGTTCAAACTTAGTGATTGAAGTTGTTCAGGTATGAAAAGGGGAAAGGGTAAACAAGATCTGCTTTTAATACATTTTATTAACCTAACTAGAGGTACTTAAAACTTGCTATCCCCATCAAGTCACAATGAATCTTTATGTAGACCAAAAGTCTTTGCATCAGTCTTCTAGTAATAACAGAAATGTATTTTCCAAGACTTAAAATGGCATAGTTCTGCCTGAAATAATGGAAAAAGTTTGGGTTTTTTTAATCTGAATTTCAGGTTTGAACTCATTCCCTTTGAAGGACAGGCAAGCTAACAGCAATACAAACAACTGAACCACAAATTCAATGTATCTGAGGCAGTGATTTCATTCAAGGGGTTGTAATAATCTCTTCTGTTACTACAATATCAACACAAAGGAATGAATTTAGGCTCTGTTTTGCTCCGTTCAAAAGTGATTCTTTAGCCAATGGTTTGGCTAAGGTTCAGGTTTTGGCAAATTTCTGGTTTGGGTTACCAACTATCTGGAAAGGCCTTTTTGCTTCTAATACAAAAATATTCGAATTATTCTAAGGCAAGCATGCAATTGCAGTCAATTTTTCCATACAAGCAATGAATGATCACAAACCTGCTAGTTCCGTGCTTAATTGATGTATTTAAACTGTACTACACTTTGAAAATGTGGTCCCAAACTGAAATAATGTTAATACTGTTTTCATTTACAGGTTCAGTACTCTTTATAGGAAGAGTTACAAATCCTTCCTAATAAACACTAGACAAATATACTGTCTTCTGTTCCTCCTGTGATGAACTTTCCTTCAATGAAATTAAAGGCTACATTATACGTATTTATTGAAACACTGTTTTAAACAATATCACTTTTGCAAAAGTAAGAGTGAGCAAGTCATCCACTACCTTATTACTTTGTACACACTATTGGAAACTTACAGCTATCTAGGAATCATCAGCACCACAACTACCGCCAAGATAGTAAGCATATAACCATTTGAGGAAAAACTGAACAGATTTTGCCACCAAAATGTTTAAGAATATGAGCCAACAGCTTCTGCTTAACTTCATCATGGCTAAAGTCAGCTTGACTGTTGCCAAGTATGTGGGTCATCTGAAAGAAAGTATCCCGCAAGAAAACTGTGATATATGTTATTTTTCAAGCACAACTTTATTTCCCCGTCCTGAAGTCAAAAACTTAAGAACAAAATTGAAGTTCAGTCTGGTCCTAGACTTAGATATAATTCAGCTGAGATAGTAAGGTAACAAGCAAGCAGCAAAACACTGTGAAAAGGAAATCAAGTTGAGAGACTGTTTCAAAACTCACAGAACAGGTAGGAAGCAGAAATACCCACTCAATCAGTGACCAAACAAATATTATTGCCAAAAAAGGCAGTAGTACTACCTTTACTACCTTTTACTTTTTTTTTTTTAAATGAACACAGCATAGAATGGACATTCCTGAAGAAGACTGAATGAGAGGCTAAAAGCATTTAGAAAAATGCTTTTTTCAGCATCCTGACAAAAGTTGGGATACAGTGAGTGTTTTAGTACAAGATTTAGCAACTAACGGCACAAGCATCAGAAACCCAGGCCCATAAAGATTTTGGGTGAAGACTGTGAACCACTGACACCTAGGAAAAGCATCAGAGGGGAGCTGCTCCCACCAAATCAAACAAAGCTTTCCAGAAGTTAGGAGCATCTAGCACAGATGAAAGACATGGCCAATAAAGCATTCAGTGATATTTTGTGTCCAAGAAGCAGCACCTTCTGGCTGTTCCTGCATTTGTAAACATGTAAAAGCTTCTGACACAGAAAAACTCTGTGCAGCATTCCTCAAAGGCTACTGACCCCTGCTTTACTACATTGTATCCTCATAAAACTGTGGGGTTTGTCATTGCTGTGGATGTGCATACAGTACATCAGTTTGTTAAGCTAGTCGCCAGATAGTGAAGCGCAAAGTACACAAGGCCACAGGGTATCATCCTACCGTAGCTGCGATTCAGCATGAGCTTCCTTCACTCGTTCGCTGATTAAGAGCAGAATATCCAGTGATACAAAACTGCTCCTCAGTCTTTAACACTGATACTAGAACATGGAAGCTCTGGAAAGGAAAGGCAAAATGAACCATTCCAATAAAAACTGTACTCAGTCCTACACAATGATTAAAATAGAGTTTTTATTGATGGAATAACAAAAGTGCTTTTCTTAAATATTTTTCAAAATACATTTATACAACTTACAATAATATATCCAAAATAACTGTATATACAAAACATTACCTTGTTTAATGTATGTGCTTTTTTCTTTTGAAAATTACAAAGCAACTTTTTGGCAAAGTTCAACCTTAAGAGGTGATAGGTTTGAAGATTGGATTAAGAAAAATAGAACCTGAGGGAAAGTGACACTTAAGTCCATGACAAGCAAGAAGTTCTCCATTTAGTTAAATAAAAATGTTTTTGTGATATTTTTCACATTACAAAAATAACAGAAGTGAAAGGAAAAAAAAAAGATGATGGATACTTTTCTCATCATTTTATAGAGCAGCTTCTCATTCTTTCAGGTATAGGAACTTGAGATAAGAGTGCATGTCAAAAATGAATGCAAGTAAGGACAGCAGTGCCCTGCTGTGGCTTTCTCTTGTGTGCAGTGTTATCTTAGCTGCTGTTGATATGGTTGACCTGATTGGATCTGCGATGGATTTCTTCTAGAAAACTCTCAAGTTGTTCTATCAGCATTCGTTTTTTAAACCTGTGTTTAAAAGAAAGCATAATAATGGATGCACACAGTAACATACGAAACATTGTTCACAAAAATTTTACTGAACCCTGGAAACTTCAGTTATGATTTTAGGTCCAGTGGATGATGAGGTTATAGATACCTCATTATGTATATACGCTGTCTCCTAAAATTCTGGTAAAACTACTAACTTGCTTTTGCATTTAATGAGAGAATACAAAACTATGCTTACTACAGTCTATTCTAGCACATTCCTGAACATCACTCAGCCCTCAGAAAGCCAGGAAAAAGAGTTGAGTGTTTGCTCTTTCCAGAAGTAAGTTTCTGAAGTACAGAAATAAAATGTATGCCAAAAGAACTATAATCCTAAAGCTGGCAACAGCTTTTAGGGATTATTTGCATGCCTTCATGGTGCATTCACAAAAGTTAAGTCAAGTTGGTAGTGGTGAAGGAATAGCATTACACAGTGCAGAGCAGATTTGCCGACAAGAAAATACAAATTAAAAGTTTGAGAAAGAAATTAAAGAAAATACAGATGTAATCCATACCTGGAGTGTCTGCAGTTCTATTCCATATTAATTACATAAATTTGAACAGCAGACCATTTTGTCACCTTTGCTTACAGCCCTGCCTCGGCACACACAGCTCCTTGCTGTTTCCAGCTAGCCCTCCCCTTGAGACATTTCTGCATCTGAGAAGCCACTTCTGACCAATGCTTTGACAGCCGTATGCATGCTCAAAGATAAGCAGCAATGAAAACATCACCCACTTTCTCCAGTCAGTACTATTCTGAACTATACACTCAGTTCAGTCCCATGACATTATAAAACCCTGGCAAAAGCCTCTAGTCCCGGCCAGGCCTCCCAGTCCACGTTCTTGGCTCACAGAAACATAGCACCTGCCCTAATTCCCAAACTACAGACTTCCCCACGACCCCAGCTTGACTATGGGGAAACAAGCTCCCATTCCCAACCACTTACTATCTCATTGAATACCCATGGCTCTGGGCCCTTACCCATCCTTCTCATCACAGTTCTCCTCAGTAACCCCAAAGAAACCCCACACTTCAAGTACTGCTTCCCCTCCATTCTTCCTCACTGCTTTCACAACTGCTCCCTGCTTGTTGAAAAGTATTAACCTGGGAAATACATGATTATTCCTTCTCCTTCCCTCTAGTAAAAGTCAAATCGTTTAAGCTAATAGCAAAGTACTTTACTATAATATATCCTAGTGAAAATTTAACATGCTCATATTCTGTGCAAGTGACTGGGCAATGTTACTTTCCAGAATACCTTCAAGCCCCTCTGAAGCAGCTGTACAAGTTAACAGCAGACGTTTCCTAGAAACTTAAAACCTGGTGGAAGGTGGGGAAAAAACCACATTGCTAACTATTCTCACATTACTGTTGGCACAAGAATTCAGGTTTACAGTGCACTATGTCCAGTCCCTCAGTATATCTCACTGAAAGCTCTTTTCCAAACACTGAACCCTACAGCAAGCAATTTTTTTTCAAGGCAACAGAAAATTTACCATGTTGACCAATATTGTAATTAACAGAATTAAGCATTGACTCTAATTCAACTGTTCACTCTGCTAGGAAAGTTAGTACCCTTAAGAATAAAACTTCCTTGAGTAGCTCTAGCTATTGAGCATAAAGCTTTGTTATTATTTTGAAACTGGCTGTATTAATTCTTGCCAGCACTTTTATCACAAGTGGGTACTGCTCAGCATTTTGTCTAGGTACACACTTTGGGCTTTACTATGTGTATTAGTAGCTTAGTTAGTATTAGTAGCTCTTAGTTTGGAGAATAAATAAAAGGGAATTTAATTTCGCATACTGAGAAGTTGGTTGATTTGGAGAATTTGATCCATGTTTTGTCAGCTTTTGCTTGAGAATATTTAGCAGAGAATAAAAAAATCCCACTTATCCTTAGTGCTAGGACCATAAATGGATTGCTATGCCCATTCCAGAAATACTGAAGACCTCTCCACTACATCGGCTAATTTCTTTTAGCCCTTTCCTAAATAACTCCTCATTTTGTGCATCCAAAGTTATAGCCATCTATCGGGAAGTCACGTCTCGTGTTCAATAAGGACTCCTTGTAAGCACCAATGCTACATGCCCAGGCTGAGCCAAATGTGTATCACTAAGCATAAGAAAAGTCTTTGTCAGAATAGAAATAGCCAAGAATTTGAAATGGAGACGTGGTATCTCCTCATCCTTAATATTTCTACGATCGACTGGAAGAAAAAAAAAAAAATCCATTGTCTACCCCACCTTGATTTCTGCCTCTCAAAAGTGATAGCTTTTCTGCTATCAGAAGAGGAACTGTAAGGCAGTCGGTTTCCAAAGGAAGCTGAAAACTGTGGATTGTTTTAGAAATCATCTTCCCTCACAACTCTCTAGAGGATTAACCTCCAGAATTGAATGGGGACTGTTTTTAAACACACACTTTGTTGCTGAAATGCTCAAGAACTTT